GAAAATTCCGAGAACTGAAACCCATGTTAAACAACTGATAATTTCGAGTAAGATTATGAATAACAATAATATTGGGATACTCATATATATTCAGGTAAGATTCAAAATTTATTGACTAAAGAGAATATCTATGGATTTTCCAAATACTAATCCTAATCAATATTCAATATTAAATGGGCGATTTAAGCAGATAATATATTATGTTCACCTATATTTATGGATTTCCCAAATACTAATCCTAATCAATATTCATTACTATAGAGAATATCCCCCAACTTTCTCCCCAAGTTTGCTCTTAAAACCTAAGCACGTCACTTATGTTTAAAATAGACAGCACTCTATTCCGATTATCTCTACACGCCTTCAAACAAAACAGTAAACAAAACAATGGCTACTAAAATGCAAATCCAAACATCAAAAAGTTCTAAATATAAAGTGGTCCTTTTACACGACTTGAAACCATGGAAAAACACATGGTTGGTTCATGTAAAGGTTTTACATGCTTGGAAAAAAACATTCAATCCGTGGAGACCATTCCAAACAAAGAAAGGTCAGCGAAATTCTAATCAGAAAGAATTATTGAGAAAATGATTAGGTCATTGTCGGCAGAATTTGTGTCTTTTAACTTTATCAGAATCCGATTTTTATAAAAATTAATATTGAAGGGTCAGTTTTTTTAGTCAATATACTTTTGGGCCCGTTTATAGTATCTCACAGGCCCAACTATTTTTGCACCAAATCGATAGCATTGGTATATATTTGAACCAATTTTAATATATACTAAACCAATGTACCTAAAAACCCTAATAACTCGACGTGAAGAATTATTTAAGCCGCTTTAACAGAAAGTTCTTCTTTACAAAAACTATTCACAGAGACAAAACCGGGAAATATGGCCAACGAAGTTCCTTTGAATTCATTGCAATATCATTGTCCAACTCAGGAAAAGGTATAATAATTTTCTTATTGTTTGGCCCGCAGACTTTAATTACATCTTCAAAATCTTATTGTGTTTGAAAATATGTTTCAGGGATCTACAGTCAAACATTTTGTCCATCTTGATGATCAAGATAAATCCAAATTTTTGGTATGGATGGAAAATAACAAATTACGTGTTGATGTAGAAGATTTTGGGAATTCAGATCGCAGTGCCAAAGCAAATTTTGTTTGGAATCCAATTTCTAAAACGTGGGAATCAGAATTTGAGATTTGAACCATATTATCATTGATTTTCTTATTCTTTTTTATTTCATCATTTACTTTTTTATCAATAAAAATAAAACCATTTAATTATTCAAATCAATCAAAATCATATGATTTTGTTATCCACTTATAGTTAAAATAAATTTTTATTCAAAAAAAATGTTCAAAAAACAAAAAAGTAAAAACAACAAAAAAATAGAAAAAAAATTGTTCAAAAAAAACAAAAAAGTAAAAACAACAAAATAAATACCCGCGCTTTTTAAGCGCGGATCAAAATCTAGTTAGACTTAAAAATCAATGTTCTGAAGAGAAAAAATAAAAAGCCCAGCCCATATTAAAAACAAAACAAGATCAAAACGAAAACAAAAAACTTCGCTTAGGAATAACCATGTGGCAAACTCAAGTTACAGTATTTAATGACGTGTCTCTTTAAGAATGGAGAAAACTATCTTTTATATAATAAAATATATTTGTGGGGGAAATTAAGTGATATAGCTAAACAAAAACCCAAAATTTATTAAGCGGCCAAATTCACTCTCTCTATTCCTATTTCTCTCTATCTACTCTCTATAAAACTAATTTTTCTTTTTTCATTAGCTATTTACAAAGAAACCCATATTTATGTTTTTAAACACACGCAACACATTGTATTTGCCATGTCAAGAAATAAGTCCGCCCACGATAATGGAAGATGATATCACACTATTTTACTCTTTTGTATTGAAAGCGAAATATATAATTTAATATACGTCGTTGTCGTGTCGCATTATTATTATAAAGTTCTTGTATTATACATGTGCTAAAAGAGAGTCGTACAAGCAAAATCGAGAGCGTTTGTGCATGGGCCACATAAAAATCCAATCTACGGCAAATATATGAGAAATTTGGTTTAAGTTCGTTGGAGGCCAAATGGCAAATAGAGCAACATCTACTTCAACGGTTTGATCTTTTAATCTTCCTTTTCCCATACTTCGGTTTCAATCTCCTTGAACGCATTAAGTCTGTAAATACAAGCCATTACAATAGATTGTAAAACACGGATTTTAAATGTCACATCCCGAACCCGTGTTCATTTAATAAAGTGGAAGTATGAGATATTTTGGTCTATGTAGAGAAAACTCTATGATTTTCCGCCTCTTATTCTATAAAAAATTTCTCCACATAAGCAAATATAATTTGGAAGATATAGCAGCTGTCAACAGAAGAGGACCAGCCGGCTCAGGAGCACCACCGCCGCTACTCTTGTTCTTCTAAGAGCATCTCCAAAAAGACACTATATTTTAAAGTTTACAAAACTCTATTTTTAAAGTTTCAATGTATTCTTTTCCAAAATCAAAACTCCAAAACTAACTTTAAAACTATTTGTATTTTATTCTTTTTTTGGTCAACAAACGGTTGATCTATTACTCAAGTTTGAGGTGGTCTGGGAATCTAGACCGGAATAGAACAACCAACAAATAAAAGATCTCGACGAAAAGATCGAGCGGTCTTAGCTAACGAATCAGCAACAGCATTCTGTGATCTAGAGTTCAAGTTGTATTTTATTCTATAGTCCTTATATTTATCATAATTAATATAAATTCATAATAACTTTTTATAAATAACTAGCACATATATGAAAAAAACATAAAAATTATATTAATTAAAAAACATTTGCTCTAAAATATAAAACTGTAAATAGAAATACATAACTTAATAATAAACTACAAACAAAATATCACATTATTTCATAAAATTATTTCCATAATGCCCAATCTTCAGTTTCACAATACTTATTTAGATAATATTTTAGAGATTTTGAAGGTTGCAGAGAAAATTTACCATACTATTAATATTGTTGTAATATTTTAATTTATATAATAACTATGTTTTTCATGTGCGTTTTTAAAAAATCTTTTTTTTAAGTTTCTTTTGTAATATTTGTTAAGTCTAATTTAGTTTTAAAATAATATAAATTTTATTTTAAAGTTTTATGTATAAAAATTAAATTTATAAAAACAAATCTGAAATATTTATAAAATATAAAAAATTTAAGGATTAACAGGTTAAACGAGAAAATATTGAAAATCATAAATATAATATATAACTAATTGTAAGGACCAAAATGTAAATAAAAAGATGAAACTTCAAATTTAAAGTTTTGAAGTTTCTTTTTGGAGAGCCAAAAACTCTATATTTAATGTTATAGAGTGTCTTTTGGAGATGCTCTAAATCAAGCCACTAGTAAGGGTAAAGCGAAACCCTAAAATCTTAATAATAAAAATCTAGTTAATTTTATTTCAAAAATTGAAAAATTTAGAATTTTCAGAATTTATTTTTAAATATTTATTTTTTAAATTCTTGTTTGAAACTTACTTATACTTTGAATTAAATAAACGTAATTTGGGTATTTCAATATGTATAGTTTCAAAAAACTAGTGTATTAAAGTGACAAATAATAGTTAAAATATTAAACTGGATAGCAAAATATTATAGATATTAAAAATTGTAACAAAATTAAGTTGATTTCATTTTACATTAAATATTTTTAAACATTTAATAAATAAAAAAATATGAATTTATAACGACTGTATAGGCAATGCGGTTGCGAGTGTCTATAGTATAGCTGAAGCATATCCTATCGAGTAAACAAATTGGTGTTTGCCCTTCAAACCTGACAACTACTATGTTTCTAATTAAATTGTACATCAAACAAAAAAAATACAAAGAAAGAGTTCATCAATATCACAAACTCAGATCACCACTGTGAAAATAAATCTCTTAAAGAAAGATACAGCCTCATATTACTATAAATCAGACCTATGTAAGCTCTTATTACTCAAGACAAAAGTAAGCAAAAAAAAAAAAAACAATATAAATAGTGTTCTTAGAGATGAGCCAAACAAAAATTGATAAACATGCATGTAAATCAAGTTCCATTTAACTTTCTCAAAAAACAAATAAGTCAAGTTCCATTTAACTAATTAATCACATTTTACTTATGTAACCAAGTATAGTTTTTCTTGAAACACTAATTCATAACCAAGTTTTTTTTTTAAACACTAATTCATAACCAAGTATACCAAGGTTGTATAGCAAACGTATATCCGGAAAATTGTTACTGTTATAGACTTATACAAAAATTATAAAAATGTGAAATGAAATTTTCTACGAACGTTGTTCCATGACTGATATTTCAACTTTTCAAATTGCCACCCTATAATAAAAAATCATAAATATATCAATGAATAAATATTCTGTTTCTAAAAAGAAGTTCTGTTTCACACATCAAGTAGTTGAAAAATATAACTGGGTCTTACTTACAAATTATGACACCAACACTTTTTAAAAAACAAAAATATATAACCTAACAAAACAAAATTTGGTTAAGATCACCCTAGTATGTACATTTTTAACAATTAAAAGTACAAATGATATTGGTGTAATAAAGTTAATGGAACATCTTTAAGCGTTTCCAATGTTCAAAAAAAAACTTAAGCATTTCCCTAGAGTTTTCAACATTTTAATTGAAAAATGCGCAAAAATGCGCACCACTGTAAAAAAATTAAAAGAAAATACAAACATAAAATATTTAACGATTATGTAAATAAATGGGATTAGTTAGAAAGCTAACTTAGAATGAATTATACGAAAGACATATAACACTTTCTGCAATTTCATCGTCAACAAAAGTAATTTTAAATAGATTATTACAATACCCCAATCAAAAGTTCATTATGAAAATCGTCACACACATAAAATAGAGAGTTTCGTCAAGAGAAAAGAAAACAATACCGATACGATATAACATTCTATCGTCAAAGTCGTAACTTAAGATCCAAAGAAGACTCTGGCAATGTGTCTGAAGAAGAACCGGGCAAGTTGGTTGACGCAGGGACATTAAGATCGATACCAGTCGAAGCTTGTTTCTTTTCCTTTCGATCCTGAAGCCAATGACACCTCATGTGACCACCCAAAGCCTGACCACTAGAGAACACTTTCGAACATCGGTCACATTGATGCTTCATCCCTGACACCGACATCACACTCTTACTCTTATCATCTTCATCAACAGTCTCTTGAGGAGGAGGAGGAGGAGGATCTTCGTTTAAGTTAAAAATGGCGGTACATATATGTCCATCTAACGCTTGACGTGACTCAAACACTTTGTTACAACCTCCACAGTCGAACCGTCCTCCAACTCCTACACTTGAACCGGTCGTAGAGGCATTAGCCAAGACTTGACCTTCCTCAACCGGCGGTGCTGGCATGATGGTTAGTTGGTGGTTAGGAGGAGGGTTGATGCCACGCCACTGACGCTCAGGGTGAGACCTCATGTGTCCATGGAGAGCCTTGGAAGACCAGAACTTTTTGCCACATACTTTGCATGGTTCTGTGATTAAGGGAGCGTTAGGGTCTGGTTTCTTAATTCTTGAAGATGAAGAAGTGGTCTCGTTGTTGGAGGTTCTAGTGCGTTTTCTTCTTGGGGGTTGGTTGTTACTCGAAGGAGTTACATTGGAGAGAGCCGATGGTGGATTCAAGTTGAGAGTTAAGTCTAAATTGTTAGTCATCGTCTAAGGAGAAGAGGGAAAAATGGGCAAGAGTGGGAGTTATGTAGGGGAGGAAGGGATAAATTAGTTTGATTCGTGGGGTCGCTAATTGCTTTGCGGTTTCTTAGCAGTTACTTGTCGAATTGTTTTTTATTCGTTTACATCCCCTCCTATTTCTGTCGAATTTTCATTTCATTTTCTTCAATTTCTTTGGTTAATATTTATGTTATTCGAATTAAGTGTAAACAGTTATATTGTCGGATTTTCAAGTCCTAGGAGGGTGCATTCAATTTGGATTTTGAATTGATTTGTATTTAAAATGATAAATCTTCGGTTATTCAGACATAAATTTTAAAAACTCTAGTAAAACTGTATATTGTTGATTTTTTTTATGTTAAACTAAATTTAAAAAATTTACGATTATTAAAAATATTTTAAATAATAAGTTTAAAGCAATTGGTTTTAAGATAAATTTTGTGACTATAGAAGGTTTTGGTAGAATTTATCTGTTAAATAAAAAACTGTATAATCTCCCCCCCCCCTCCCCTTAGTCCTGTTTTCATCGGATTTTCATTTTCTTCAGTTTTTTTGGTTAATTTTGTTCAAACATTAAACCGGATACGGTTAAACTCTAACAGAAAGGAATCAAGCTGAAACATTTTGTTCTAAAACTCGGCCGCTTCACCGATTACGCGGCCGAAAATACGGTGTTCGGAGGTGCAGCGTGGTGAGTTAGGGCTGCTCGGCCAGATTAGGCGGTGAGACAATTTGTGTCTGCATGTGCCATAGAATAGTAAAACGCGTCGAGTTATGGGTGATAATTTTTGTTTTCGTTGCATAGTAAGTGAAAGGTTGCATAGTAAGTGAAAGAGATGATCACGTGTAATCATATGGCTGCCAGATTTTTTTTTATTTCTCGTGTTTGCTTTCTCAAAGCCCAACTAATTATATTTTATAAAGACCCAATTCAACAAACGTGTTATTGTAATTATTGCTAGTTAATTAGTTGGAAATTTTAAATAAACATATTATATCATTTCTATTTTTAACGGGGCTTTTATTTCTGTAAAACTAATTGTATACGTATAAAATGTTAATTTGAGTGTATAAAATATGAAACCATAGACATATAGTAACTGCAACTTAAAATCTTAATTTATATGTATAAAATATGATATATATATATATATATATATATATGTATATATATATATAAAAGTATAAAAAATTCTTCTCCACATATTTTCCGAATTTTTTCCACTTTTATAATAAATCGCTAGGTCTTGATATTAAGCGAAATTCCGAACAAAGAACATAATTAACAATTTTTGACTAAAAATTAATTGTCAGTAAACATAACTAACAATTTTTTTATTACCCTCAATATAAATCACAAAACTGCCAAAAAGATCTTTGGAATCTCTTAACGATGAACAACACAACTTTATTTTGTCTATTTTTCATTTTCTTCAAAAAGAAATTTCTTTTCAACTCAAACTTTTTTGGTTGCTCAACACAAAATTCTTTTAGGAGAAAATTTTAACTTTTTTTATTTTTGTTATCTATTATATAAAAAGAGAAGTCACAACTTTCATTCATGTACATTTTTCTTTAAACTGATCTTTCTTAGAAATCATATTTCATTTTTGTTCTTATTACAATGTGGCATCATTAAGATATCACATCTTATATAATCAATATATATAACAACTTCACCTATAAAATTATTTTAATTTTATCTTTAACTATATAAATTCTGTTGAAAAATAATTTAACAAAATCTTACAAATTTTTTTAAATACATTTATATAATAATGCATCAATTAATTTCGTAATTAGTACTATAATTTTGTTCAAATAAATGTTAATTAAATTTTTATAATAAAAAATTATGACATGTTCATAAATTTATAATTATAGTATATATTATACTAAAATAAAGGTACTATATGAAAATTTTATTAAAAAATTATATAAAATTAATAAATTAACTTATTTTATTTTAAAAAAATCTTTCATCATAAATTCAAAACAAATTACTAAACCGTAATTATTTTCTTACTACTACTTATAACTTAAATTGAAATTATATTAATTTGTTAGTTTTAATATTATAAAAAGGAAATATAAAATCATTTTCCAACAATTATATAATAAAGAACAACAAATACATATAACTTTGAAATAAATAATTGAATAAAACAAACAAACTATAAAATTTAAACATTTTAAAATAATATAATTACTTGAATATATATATATACATAAAAATGAAAATAAATGTGAAATTATATTGTTCTGCTTTTCAAGTCTACTAAAAGAAACAGACGTCAAACAAAAATGTGAAACAAATTAAACTAAGACAATATGCATTTGGTTCAGGTCCTTGGGCTAATTTGGTTTAAACATTGAAACCGTGTACGGCATAGTTCCAACAGAAAGGGAATCAAGTCGAATCAAAACTTTTTTGTTCGATTTGGTTTCAATATGATTACCCTCCATTATTAATCCCTAAACTATGAATTGGAATCTCTTAAACGAAGAACACATCACAGCGAAAACCTATAGAATAACGTAAAATGTAGCCATTCCAAGTTCCCAAACCATAGCTCTTACAGTTACAGACGTATGTTGTAACAACTCAAATAAATTCTGAAAAGATGAACCAGCATCTATTAAAAAAGAAGAAGGTTTTGGGGGATGGGTAAAGAGAGATGATGACCACAAATACCGTATGGCGCGGCTTCTTTTTATCCACAAGTTTCACGATCCTATGATAAATAAGAGTTCCATAACTGAGAGATTGCCACCAGATATTGATGAGAGACGATCAGTTCACGAACCTGCTGCTACTGGCCAATACTTCCCAAGAGTCGTTCCACAGCAGCGTTAACGTTTCCATTGGTTGCAAGCAAAGCCCTTATGTTCTCTGATCTGTCATAGAATCCCATTTCTTGCAGCTGTTGCAACTGTGTTGCGAAGCGTTCCTCTGGAGAAACTGGAATCAAACAAGAAACATGTTTCAGTGGAACCATCGCAACATATACATAAGAGAGTATAATTGCATTGAATGCTAACCATTGGATTGGTTCGTACCACTCAGGCCGCCAGCACCGAGACTGCCAAACAGATTCATCAATAAATCCAGCCCTGCGTTGTTGCCGGTCCCTATACACATTGCGTTCATACTAATTTACTCAATAAGTTGCATGTGAATATGTATGTGCTAGAATAAAAAGATGCAATGAAGCAAATGTACAACAAAAGGCGACTATAACTCTATAAGAGAAACAACTCAAGCAATTATAATTAAGATAGAGATAATATATAGCTGCAAGTACCTGCCGCAGCAGCCCCAGTTTGCCCCGGTTCCCTACAGAGATGATGGATTGGGAACATGAATAATGATTGATAGAAATTAAAAATTAATAAGAGCGGTATATCAACACTCTGTCAGCATATGCCAAAAAGGCAAAACCTCAGAGAAACAAAAAAAAAACTGTTTATGTTCAAGTGCATTTCAACAATTAAAATGCTTCACAGACCTAAGGGTTTACCAACGATCAGCACAGTAAACATATAAGAATTGCTGCATTACACATGAGTCATGATTCAACCATTGCTTAAGATAAAAATCATTCACCACCAATGGGATTATCTGTTTAGCTAGTCACACTATTGTCTAAACACAATGTAACACAAAAGACAATCACGATATATACAGGACATGAGAATGGTATCCACACTTACTGGGTGGTCGTATTCCTATTCTGAGGAAAAAGTGATTGCTGCAGAGTCATCATTTGCTAAAGACCAAGAAAACACAATATATGACATTAGGTTAAAGAAACTTCATCATTTGGTAATAGCTTACAGATACAGATTTTTTTCTTTGGAGAGAGCACATGTTCGAAATTCACATGTGTAAAGACAACATAGAAGGGACGGACTGACCTGCATCATCTCCGGGGAGCTAAACTGACGAAGGAAATCTGGATTCTGCATCATCTCCCTCAACTGAGGATTCGAATCAAGCATGGTTCGGAGTTGTGGGTTGAGATTCATAAGCTGGAACCGAGGGAAAACATTAAGCACATGTCCACAATAGCAACAACGTTTTAAGCATTATAGGTTAGTCTAGTTGTTACCTGGTTCATGTATTGTGGATTGGAGAGTAAGCTTTGCATCATCTGGGACATGGCTGGATTTTGCAATATCTGGCTCATCTGAGAAGCATCTGGAATGGGACCAAGAGGTGAATCCGCTCCAAGCATACCGAGTCCACCAAGGCCTCCAAGACCACCAAGGCCACCTAGTCCAGGGCTTCTTGTATCCCCACCAGAATTTGTCCTTCCTGTGGCATTTGTCTGGCCTGTAACGTAGCCTCACAATATGTTAAAAAATGCATATGTCATTACGAGTAAAACTTTAACATAGAAACTTACTCACACACAAACTACTCACAACAGAAAAATAGTGAGAACTTCATGAACTAATCAAGCAATTTATTATACACGATACTGCTCCTGAACCAGAGTAGTAAACATAGACTTCCCGTTCTTATAAAGTCTTACAGTTATGAAATACTACAGAATCATTAAAGAAAGACGAGTATCAAACACGCAATAAAGAGAATGAGAAGGCAGGTTCTTACCAGCAGTAGCACCCCAAGGATTAGGAAGTGGATTTGCATTCGGAATACCATTCCCTGCCCCCGTTTGAGCATGCTGTGTAGTAGAATTATTAGCAGCATCGCTACCTTGTGTAGTAACCCCGTGGTTTCCAAGGAGAGCAGCAAAAGGATTAGAAGCTGCATTGTTTCCGGCATTCCCGGACATAGTCGTAGCATTCATGAGCGGTTCCTGGACATTCTCATACATACGCCTAAGATGGTTAAACCCCTCAGGCATAGACTCAATATTACTCATGGCCCTATCAGTATTCCGCATCATCTCACGCATCAGCTCCGGGTTTCTCGCAGCTTCCAGAGTCTGCCTAAGGATGCTAGGGTCATTAAGGACATGGCCAAGCTCAGGGTTGCGGTCAACAAGGTCACGCATTTGAGGATTACTCATGATCATACTCCTCATAAACTCAGGGTTGTTCATGAGACTCTGAATGGCTGGTGTGTTCATCAGATCTCTAATCATGTTAGGGTTTTGAGCTAGCTGCTGCTGTGCCTGCTCAAGATCGGGAAGACTAGCTCCAAATAAGCTAGACATAGCGTTCCCACCACCTAAGGGGGGGTTAAATCCAAGTCCAGGGAACAAAGTTTCTCCGGGATTGGAACCAACACCTCTGGTAACACTAGGAGGTGCAGTGGATTGGTTAGCAGAAGGAGGTGGTGATGAAGAGGGTGCAGAGCCTCTAACCATATGAACGGTGTGATCAGCCTCCAAACCTATACATAAAATCAACATCACACTTTCATCCCAAAACGAAACGAACCGAACCCCAACTCAACTCACCGTAGCTTAGAAGAGATTGATCGTCCTTGAGGATGCGCCCCTTGTAAATCAAGCGCTGCTGATTCGCTGGGACTTCGCTGTTCTGCGCTACCAACTCTTTCAAGGCCTCCACCGTCGAATCCAGACTCGTTCTCACTGTAAATTTGGATCCGTTAGAGCACCTGACGTTGACCGCGACCATGGCGTCTCCTTCAACAGCACTCAGGGGCTGACTCGAATCTCCTTCTCCACCCATTCGAATCTGTTAGATCCTCCCTCGAGAAACCCTAGAAAATAAAATTCAACGAAGATGAGAGCTCTCGGCTTTGGTTGATTTCTTGAGGAAAGGGATATAATTTCCTGTATTTTTTGTTTGTTTGGTTTGGTCGGAATAACAAATGAGAGAGACTTTTTGAGTTTTGTCGAGAATGACTTGGGCTTGAGAGAACGTATCGACTTGAACCGGTCGGGTCCCGTTTATTTAGACGGGTTGGATTAAACACTCAGCGAAAACCCGATTCCTTTCTTGGATCCGAATCTGAGGTTTTACAGAAACTAAACGATATCATTTTACTCTATTGTAAGTTTTGTTAAGGCCTAGATCCCAACTATGGCGTTGTTTAATACAATTTAACTTTTTGTTAAGGCCCATTAAGCCTTAGATTTTTTCAATCTATACTATCATGTAAATGTACCCTTGAAAAATCGACTGATGAAAGTTGTCTGTATCCTCTTTAATGACATTTTGATAATTTATTTTTCGACCTTAAATCTATATATATATATGGATTTGTTAAGTATCATATCACATATTGCATATACCCGAATTATTTTCTATCTTCCCATTAATTACTTTAACTATATTTCATTTTATATTTCATACATTTATATTGTGTTATAGAGCTTATATTACACGATTTCAATCTATAGATTTCCAACATTATAATTTTTTGGTTGACATTTTTTGGTATATGCATCATATATTGATGATATGATGCTATATTTCATATATTAATATTTTCATATAGTTATACTACACCTTATATTTCAAAGACTATAATTTATAAACCCATATTACTCTAACCATGATATGATGCTATATTTCATATATTCAGATTTTTATATAATTATACTACACCTTATATTTAAAAGACTATATGATATAAACTCATACTACACTAGTCTACACTTTGTAGCCAATGTAGTTGATTGTAGACTTTATATTACACGATTTCAATATATAGATTTCTAACATTATGATTTTTTTCTTGACATTTTTTGGTATATGCATCATATATCGATAATATGATGCTATATATTAATATTTTCATATAGTTGTACTAGATCTTATATTTCAAAGACTATACTTTATAATCTCATATGACTGTAACCATGATATGATGCTATATTTCATATATTAAAATTTTCATATAGTTGTAATACACCTTATATTTCAAACACTATATGATATAAACTTATACTACACTTTATATTACATATATTAAGATTTTGTTATAGTTGTACACATTTGTTAATGTATTATATAATATATTGTCTATATCGACAATTTCATGAGTTCTGCATACTATATCAACCATTTTTTAATGTCTTACTACTTCTATCATTTATTTCATACCTCAAAACCATTTCAAATATTAAGGAAAATGAAGAATCCATTCAAATGTCCTTCATTTCATGTTTTTAAGACATTTGAAAATGAAGAATCCATCCAAATGTTCTTCGTTTCATGTTTTTTCTTCATATGTTGATATATCATCATTCTCATGATGAAATTTAATGGACGAGTTACATTTTGTTAAGAAAATATTGCAAAAAATTATTTTCTATAATTATCTTCCTACTAAAATAAATAAATTGCTTCATCTACAAGTTTATATATTAACCACAATCAATATCGTGGTTAGTTATTCTTTGGTTGGATTCCATAAATTTTGGTAACTTACCGTAGTTGGATTACCATTAACTGTTAAACTATAAACTTCATATCTAATTCAAAATATATTCAAGAAATATTCCTTATATCTCGAAAGAGATATTTTTTTTTAAAACCGTCTAAATATTCTGCCCTACATTTGTGTAACTTAAATGTATATCGTCTCTACCTATTATAAATATAGCCTCTCTTAACCACTATATTCATCCTTCCTTGAAAAACCTAAAACAAAAATGACGAATAATTTGCAGTTGTCTTTCTTGAGCGATATAAAACCGAGGAAGACTGCATGTCGCATCCAAGTCAAAATCCTTTATACATGATACATTTCATGAAAGACATAGGGGAGGCCATGGAACTAATTCTTTGTGATGCAAATGTAAGTTTATCGTTTTATATAGATTTATGATTTAGATATTCTTCATTTCGTAAGTTTTATATATTTAATATAAAAGATATAGACCTATAAACATATTGATTTATAACTTGATATGCAATTCTATTAGTGGTCACATAGTAGCTTGCTATCTTTGGGGTAAATTTGCTGAGAATCTTCATACAACTAGCCAAGAAACATAAGGCATGGTGATATGACTTCTACGATTTGCTAAGATTAGGCAATATAGAGGTATTCCTTGAAAATGAAAACTTCTATTTTGATTTTGTACTAAATGACCATTGTTTATATAGTTGAAAATATGTTTCTTCTAACACAATGTTTTGATCATTCCTTTATTTTTCTGTTTTATGTCAGAAGAAATTACTCAAATGCTTATGATTTTTTTTTTTGTTATAGGTGAGGTCCAAATCTCAAATGCTTATGATGTAACTAGGGCTGGGAATCTAAGTCATCACCCGTGGGTCCCTTCCCGCAGCGGGTGAAACGGGTTATGAGTATTTTATGCGGGTTGGTTGATTTTGAATTACGGGTACCCGCCAACCCACAATTTTTTCTATTTATTTATTTTTAATTTTTTTTGTTAGAAAAAGTGTTTTTTTGTAAAAATAAATAAATATTTTTTAAAAATACGGTGATTTTTAAAAGATAAGAATTTAAAATTTATATAGTATATAATTTTTATTATAAATATATAATTTTTATTATTTTTAATAAAAATTAAATAACTATTTTTTTAAAAAAAATATAACCTACGGGTCCTGCGGGTTATCCACAACATTAAGCGGGGCGGTATGGATATAAATTTATTCGTTCTCGGGTTGTGCGAGTCGGATTTTTTTTACAAAAAAATGAAAACCCGCGGGTTGACGGGTCAGCGGGGCGGGTTTGATCCGCAACCCAAAGATGTTTGTTAATCCTGAAATACTAGAGGCAAATGAATTTAAACAACGGTATTTATCTACTTCAATAAAAATGTTTTCACTTTATAATAGTATAGATTAAATTATAAAACTTATTTATAATTGCAGAGATAATGATGATTCTCAAGCGTTAACCTTTGCTGAATCAAACGAGAACAAGCTTGAGTTGCAGATAAAACGAGATAAATGGATGCAAAATCTTCATGATTTACTTGAAACATCTGAGGTATTGCATTTTCAAAAACTATACTAATATGGAAGTTGGCATCTCTTTGATTGTTTATTTATGGATTTATCATTTTTTTTAGGAAAAACTATGTAGGTTTGTTGCGACAATCTATGCCATTGATACAGATTGGGGATGGTATTATTTTGTCTGTTTAAGTTGTAACAACAAGAAGGTTTATCCACATTCCATAACCGTTAGAAATCCAACCAATTTTTGTTTCATGCCTTTTCAATAGTATTGATTTTTCAAATTTACTATGGGACATGGACCCATCCAATTTTGGTTTCAATTTAATATGTGTTTTAACTCTTCATATTCTCACAACACTTAATTTTCTGATTCTCGATTCAACCAAATGCAAAACTCAATGAAAGACCCTACTACAAGGTTAGATATACATCAAATTTCACATATAAAACTATCATATAATAGAAATCGAATCATTTGATACATTTAGTTACAACCAAAACAAAACCCGCGCTTCTCAAGCATGGATCAAAATCTAGTTGTATTTAATAAGGTCAAGGTCAATCATACTCTCAGAGGTTGTATTCAAAGTGATTTGATCATTAATCAGTTTTTATATGAATTGAAAATTTTGTAACTAAACTTCATTCAAACACTTTAAAATCACTTTAAAATTTTTAAAAGTTCACAACTTAAAATATTTTCTACTTTGGGTTTTAGAGTAACTCTATGAAAAGTCAAATGTAATAATAATTGATTTTAAATGAATTTTGAGAATTCATATTTGAATAATTGTAATTTTTTTTTATTTTAATACAATTACACAAATTCTTAGTTAAATATATCTTCATGAATATCTAATACACAATCACTACTTTGGTTTAACTTCTCTCCAGATCAGTTATGATTACCGTGTAACACCGAGTTGTAGGATCTTAGAGCATGATTATCCCTAGAAATCCATAAGATTTCTTAAGTACATTTTAATGACTATTTAACTATTAAATTTTAGCTAAGGATCTTTGTTAAAGATCATCTAATTATTGTGCTACAATGGTAGTTGTTTAATTTGGGTTTCTTAAAAGAAAAAAAATTCTACTTGTGATTAACATGCTTTGTGATTAAAATGAGAGAATGAGTGTCTTCTCAGAGAAGATGAATCCCTACTTGCCACTTCCAGTTTCACCTGATCTTCTCATGATTCTCAGTCTTTTCACGGACCCAAAGAACATCCTGAAAAAGATAGTAAAAAAAACATGAAGATGCATAACAAATACAGATGACGAACATGGAAGATATTAGCTAGGGACAAATATATCATACCGCCAAGGAACATCTCTTACACGCATCCAATCTCCGTCTTTATCTTGATACGTTATGATATGTTCTGATGAACCATCCAGCAGTTCTGAAACAACACGTGTTTCCTTGCATCCTACAAAATTTGATCAATCATAACCGATCCCACCACAAAAGAAAAAAAAAATGGAATGAAGAACTGATCTGTTATTACAGAAGAAGGTGTATGGAAAAACATTTGTTCCAAAGTTTTCGCCAAGGCTTCATAAGAATCAAGAGCACTGAGATCAATCTTCCTTCCAATTATAACTCCATCCATTGTAACCTTCACAAGCATGGGAGATTTGATGAATCCAACACCATCCTTCTTCACGCTGTTTTTTGTTGTGCCCTTTTGAACGTCGTCTTCAGTGGCCAATAAATTTGCTTGGTTGTTGAACAAACTATTGATTCTGTAAGTCCGTAGAGGTGGCCACCCTATAACAACAGGTGTGCTCCCATGAAATTCAAAGCAGAAAACAGAAATAATAATCAGGAAACACACAAAAAACCTATTGTAACATTAAAAAATGTAATCCACAAGTATGGTTCAAAACATTTCAGATGAACTTTCTTTACTGATCCTGTGATTAATTCAATATTACAAGAAAAAGAAGTCTAAAAATCAAATCTGAGACTAAATCATATACATATGTTGAGATATACCTTTGAGTGATGATTCCTACGACTGTTTATACCAATGCCAAGACCAAGAGCTAAGTCGAGCTCTGCTCCTCTCACCGACTCCTCCGAGCAAGATGGATCCTCTGAAGACAGAGCAGCAGCAGCGGCAGCGTTGTCGTCTCCTTCATCCGGTGATACTCCGATCATCACATTCACAGAACCACTTGATGAACAAACATCTTAAAAACCACTCATCATTCCAAAATCAATAAACCCTTATAAAGTAACGAGCTTCAAATTCCTAAACACATTCGAATCCCCCCTCAAACTTGACCTCACCGCTGCAATAACCCTCTCTCACCGCCTATACACCGACAAGAGATTCCGAGAGATGAAATCTACGGGAGAAAAGGAAAGGGATAGAGAAAAGAAAAAAAAGAGAGATATTGACACGTGCTTATAAAACTCTCCAAAAAATCGATCCCAAAAATCCCATGTAAGGGCCGATAACTCTTTTTTTTTAATTTAATTATATCACAAATTTTGTGTAAAACCCCTATTGAGAACATGCGATAATCATGATCTTATGTTCTCTTCATTTTCCAACATTTCCAATTTGTGATAAAGGAAAAGGAAATTGGTTACCATATTTAACTACAGTCTTTACAGTACCAAAAATAAAAAATTCTGACAAGTACATGGAAACCAAATGTCAACTGCAGAAACTCAAATAAACTCACAAAAGTCCTCTGAAGTGTTATGTACAATTATAACACCGCCTTTAATATGATAGTTTCGCTACAGAATATAACATTTAACTATGAATATTTCCACATGTGTGACAAACTCAATGCATACTAATTCATATCAACTCGCATTCCACATGAGGGAAATATAGGATTTATTATTCTTCTTCAGGAGATCAGATGCATAATTTCTTAGTGTGCACCTCTGTGTCAAGGAGAGAAAATGTTATATATTATACATAATTCCGACTTTTTTTTGCAATCGCCTATACATAAAAATTCATAACTTTAAGGTTAGATGCAGAAATTTGCGAAACTCAATGCAAAATGACATATATACAGATTTGAGAGAAGAGAAAAAGAGGCCAGCGTTAGTTGTGACTTAGTCACTTCTCTCACTGAAAATGAATTACAGCTAGTCTTTGTAAGAAACTTTTACAAGAGAAAGTGGGGAATACCTATAATCCTAATTGAATGTTGCACCATGTTTGATAGTGTGATACTTGTTAGCATGATAAACAAGTTTGAGTTTTCGAACATCACTCTTTCTCCTTTCTTCTTCTCACAATCAACTCTTTCATCCTAAAAGAAAAACAAGAAGTCAGGCTAAAGTCATCTGATTTTTCATATACTAACAGAGAAAGATAAAAATCATTGAGAACACATATAATAGTTTTTTTTTTTTGACATCAAACGGCTGATCAATTACTCAAGCAACTTGAGGTGGTCTGGGTAACCAGACCAGAATAGAACAACCAACGTACAGAAGCTTACGATAAAAGGACCTAGCTATCCTAGCTAGAGAATCAGAATCGCCGTTCTGTAGTCTACTCTTGAAGTCAGGAAAGCAGATCTTCAGTGTCATCAGTTTTTCCAGTTCCGTTGAAAAGCTAGGCCATGCATGAGGATTCCTGAGCATTTCGATCATCTCCTTGCAATCAGTCACAAAGCTCTGACATGGCGAATGTTGAAGCATGTTCTCCATTGCCCACCGCAGTGCTTCCAACTCTGAATGTAACGCCGATTCCACTCGATCAAAATTACGCAAGCCCAATAGCTGGCTATTTCCAGAAGTATCATTCAATACCCATCCACATCCACTGAAGGAATCCGATGAAGTCCAAGATCCATCTACCATGCATATGTTACCCAAACTTAAGGCATGTTCCTCATCTATTCCGTCCTCAAGGGGAGACGGTATATTCTGCTCATTTGCTTGGAACCATGCTTGGCATTCACTTTCTGCATATAGCGCGCTACTTCCAACGGGTCCATATCAATGCCTCTGAATAGCTTATCGTTCCTAGCCTTCCAAATGTATCAGATTATCCAAGGATAAGGATCCCTGTCTAATTCCGGCTCCACAATTGCATTCTTCCTCCAGAATAGATAGTCCATATTCGCGTACGTGCTTTGTACTGGAAACAGAACGGGATTGGTGGGCGTAGTTGATAGTGCCCAAACCTGTAATGCAGGTGGGCATTCAAATATTGCATGTGTGATCGTTTCCTTGGGTTCCCCACATCGAGGGTAGTGGTTGTCGCATCTCATATGTCTGTAGTTTAAGATGCTCGTAACAGCTACATGTCCTGTAATCAACTGCCACATAAGATGGCAAATCTTTTGGGGAGCCCTGACCTTCCAAGCATGTGCTTGGAGCTTTGTGATACTAGGCTCACATACTTCAGATTCCTCTTCTTTCCTCAAGATATGCCATGCTACCCAGTATCCAGATTAACTGTATACTGTCCAATCCTCGTATAACTCCAGCAGTACGTATCCCGTCGATGTGTGGAGCTAATGGCCATACTCTTTATGAGTGGTATGTCAGCTGCATCAATATAATCTTGGAGTCGGCTATCATCCCAAGTCTTCGTTGTTTGATTAATCAAGTCGCTCACTCACATATTTGGGTGCAGAATCGGTGCCAATGGGGTTGCTGGTCTTGCAAGTATAGTAGGAATCCAAGGATCTTCCCAAGCTTTAACTTCATATCCTGAATGAATTTTTTGTCTAATTCCTAATAATAGCAATTCTCTTCCGGCCGATATGCTTGACCACACATATGATGGGCTGCTAGCATTGATTTGACGCAAATGCGTACTCAATCTGTAGTACCGGCCTCTCAAGACGCGAGCTACCAGAGAGTCCAGGTTCTGTACCAGCCTCCATAGTTGTTTTGCTAGTAACGCAAGGTTGAACTCATGAATCATCCTAAAGCCAATTCCGCCATCTTCTCTGGGCAAGCATAATTTATCCCATGTTGACCAGTGAATCCCCCTTTTTGGCGGGTTTGAGCTCCACCAGAACTGTGCAATGACACTAGCTAAATTCTCACAAATCTCCAATGGGAGAAGGGAGCAAGACATTACATACGTCGGAAGAGCGAGCAGGATTGATTTTATCATAACTTCTTTCCCGCCTTTAGAAAGCCATCTGCCAGTCTAACCATTCACTCTACTTCTCAGCTTTTCCTTAAGAAAGGCAAAGAGTTTAACTTTAGACCCACTGACATCCTCTGGTATACCTAAATATGACCCCATCCCTCCTTCATTTTGGATCCCAAGTGTGTCTTTGATCTCTTGTCTCACATCCCGACCGATTCTTTTACCAAAGAGTAAAGAGGACTTGTCAAAATTAATGCATTAACCTGAAGCTTGTCCATATACCTTGACCACTTTCATTACTTCTTCACATTCACGGGGCACCGCCTTACTGAAAAACAGACTATCATCAGCAAAGAGAAGATGAGACACCGAAAGACACGCACGCGTGATGCGCATCCCCGTTATCTTTTCATAATTCTCTGCGTGATTTAGAAGGCTAACGAGCGCTTCCGTACACAGAATAAAAATGAAAGGGGACAAAGAATCCCCTTGCCGTAGACCTCTCTCCGGGACAATATTCCCTCTTGGCTGACCATTCATAAGGACCTTGTACTTTACTGAAGTTATGCATCTCATTATCATAGTTATTTTGACTTCAGAAAATCCCATCTTCCTCATTGTGGCCTCAATGAAGGACCATTCCATCCTATCATATGCTTTGCTCATATCTGGAACAATTCCTGAGCTATCATAATGTTATCAGATATCTGTCTCACAGCAACAAAGGCTGACTGGGTCTCAGAGATCCTGTCTGGTAGGAACTTTTTTAATCTCTGGCATAAGACCTTAGAGATAATCTTGTAACTAACATTACATAAGCTAATAGGGCGTAACTGACTCATCTGATTTGGCTTCTCCACTTTTAGAATGAGGCATATGTTGGTATCATTTAGTCCAGAAGGCACCGTTCCTTTAAATAGGAATTGATTAACCATAAGAGTTAAATCGTCCTTTACAATATCCCATAATTTTTGGTAAAACAACGCCGTCATTCCATCGGGTCCTGGAGTTCTCTGGGTGCATCGTAAAAAGAGCCAATCTAACCTCCCATTCAGTGACCGGAGCTGTTAAAGCGTCATTATCTGTCAAAGTAATTGTGGTTGATACTTCAGAAAGTGACTCCTCTATTTCTGCAGGATTTGATGATTGAAAGATGTGTCTAAAGTAATTTGTAACAATTGCTACCAATCCTTCCTCATCCTCCACAGCATTTCCATCTTCATCCAATAATTGGGTAATCCTATTCCTAGCTCTCCTTTGCTTCGTAAGGGCGTGAAAAAATTTGGTATTCATATCCCCCTCTCTCAGCCAGAAAACCCGACACTTCTGCTTCTAGAACATCTCCTCCGCCTTAAGAGCGTCAGATGGTTCCTTGATAGCTGCCGCAATTTCCTCAGTAGTGGCATCGTCGTTTGAGGATAAACGATCTACTTTTTCCTTAAGCTCCTCCACTGTTTTTTCTGAGTTCAGATTATGCTGCTTTTTCCATTCACTTAATGCTCGCCGGCAGCTTACAATATACTCCATTATACTTGCGTCTGGTGGAAGGTTCGGTGACTTCCAACCCTCCAATATAACTTGCCTGAGCTCGTCGTTATCTAACCATCTCTTATCAACTTTGAAGTTTCTTGATCTCCTAGGTTTCTTTTTTAGAATATCAGCTAGTACCGGACGATGATCCGATCCCCATAGTCTCATATACTTCACTTTGGAATGAGGAAATTTCTCATGCCAGTCTTCATTTCCCATAGCCCTATCTAGACAGCATCTAAGTGTCGTCCTCTCTGATCTATTTCCAACCCAGGAAAGCATGTTCCCTGTAAATGAAACTCCAGCATCCCACAATCACTTAACATCTGCCTAAAGGGCAAAAATGAGCTATCAGGGCGTTGTCTGCCCCCTTCCTTCTCTGCATGACATGTAATTTCATTGAAATCTCCTATCATGAACCAAGGTCCATTTCTTGATGTTGAGAAACGCGTAAGACGCCCCCAAACTAAATCTCTCCTTTCTAGTATAGGATCCCCATAAACAAATGTTATATAGACTTTTATTCCATCAATGACTGTCTCAATGTTAATAATTCTGTTATTTGAAAAAAGAACATTAACTTGAAATTCATCCATAAAAAATAAAACTAAACCTCTGCTGAGGCCAAGTGGCTCAACAGTATACAAACGATCAAATCCTAAGTCGGCCTGAATGTCTTGCAACAACAGCCTCCTATTCTTCGTCTCAGATAGAAACACAAGTCCTGGGCGATGCTTCTGACACATCTCCGTAAGGCGTCGAACTGTGAGGTCGCTTCTAATCTCTCACAGTTCCAACTGATTGTCCTCATGGATGAGGGTGGGATGAGTTTTTGGAACCCATCGAAACCTCATGTGTAGAAGACTCTTGTCTTATCCTAATTGACCATTGTCTGATTTACTTTCTAGAATCCCTAGCATCCTTGATACCAGACTTTGATCGCTTAACTGGAGAACCTCGACGGAGGAACTCGACAGATATAATAGTATTTTAAATAATGAAGACTTACTGAAATGTATATAATTTTTGGAACAACACTAAAATGAGTTGAGTGGTTTTGGTTGTGAGAGGCCCAAACAACAAAAACATGAATCAGAAATATTAGTTAGTGAACACAAAACACAGATTAGATTAGAGTACGCTTCCCAAATACATGATTTCAGATCTATCTTGTATAATGAATCCCACATATTCAATCTGTCGCCACCTATTTAAGTTTCAACTATAGAAATTCACGAAAAGAGTTAAGGCTGCACATAACCAAATCAAAACTTTTTTGTACCAAAAACAAAAACTAAACAATTATTTTTTTCTCCACGCAGAGAATATCAAGAGCAACATACAACTTATGATCATGTTTTTTTTAAGATAACATATTTCACAGACCATTCATTTCTTTAATCGAATCTGAGAAGACATCCAAGTGATCCCACTTGTATCTGAGAAGACATACAAGGAATGTGGCTGTTTGTATTTTCGGTCTTCAATTCCTTAGGTTTTCGGTGTTGATTAGTCAATGGAAAAAGTGTGAATAGAGTTTCGTTTTTTTGCGTTGTCATGTATGGATTTATATGCTTATGAATTTGATATTGTAATTTGGTTGTTATATGCAACATTCCTATCTTGAAAAGTCGTATGAAGCTTGATTGTGATCTAGTAACTCATAAAATATTGCTAAACCTTGTGCCAAAAAGTTTTTACGGTAACATCAAACTGATTCTTTCTTCATTATTTTATTGCCAATGATAAACTATATTCTTTCATGGATAACCAATAAGCATATTCTGATAGCACAAAAAATTTCCAAGCACTACGGAAAAATAATAGATGTAGGAAAGATTTTATGGTTATTAAAATAGACATGAGTAAAACCTACAATAGAGTGGAATGGAGTTTCATAGCAGCTTTGATGCTGAAGATGAAATTTGATGAAAAACTGATTGACCTTATTATGTGTTGTGTCACGTTGGTCTCATATCAAATCCTTGTCAATGGGCAGTCGAGAGGGCGGATTTTACCAAAGAGGGGTTGAAGCATGGAAACCCCCTCTCCCCCTTTTTGTTCATTTTATGCATAAAAGTTTTGATATCACTCCTTAATGGAGCAGAATCAGAGAAGAAAATTGTGGGTCTTCGTGTTGCCCAGACGAACCTGATATATAGTGTTTTTAGCACTATTGTATTTATGTTCTCTAACTGGTTTTCAGTGTTTTATTTAGCCAGATTAGTCATTTTGAGTCAATTCAGGTCATCTGGAAGGCTATAAAACTGAAGGAAGGTGCATGAAGAAAGATGTAAGAATCAGGGTCTTGTTCCGCGGAGCAATCATACAGAGCAGTCAGATGCTTTCTCCCTAGCGCGAGCAATCCATGCTGAGCAATCAATAGATTGCTCCCGATATTTATGGAAACTTCAATATCTTTTGAAGACCAATTTAGTCTCTTTCCCTCTCTGGAAGTGGAGGGAACCTCCTTATAAAAAGACTCCTTTCATTTGTTTTATTTTCTTACGCTAGTTTTGGGAGAGACCTAGAAATATTTTGGCGATTTGCTATTAGAAGGGAGACGGCTACTCTTCTCGACAAGAAGATCATCCTGAACCCTATCTATTTCTCTTTGGAATTTTATGCAGTATCATTCAATTATTATGTCTTTGTCATCTTGTTCCATGGTTGAGTAGTCGCTGGCTTGTCGAGGGTTCTAGGATGTTAGTCGCATGAGCTAAACATATATAAGCAATCTGATTGTATCTTCATTCATCTAGTCCTTAATGATTGCTTTAACCTGATCACTTATCATTAGATCTAGGTTTGTTCTACTCGTTAACCGTGTAGTAGATAAATTGATTGTTGGGTGAATGAGTCTAGCATCCCTCGTCAGCGAGAGCAGATACTGGGGTACTAAATGAACCTATTGGATTTGACCTATATTGCTTGTTATCGGATCTGAACCCAATCGAGAGTTTAGGTGTTCAGATCGATATGCAAAGTGAGCAGTACCTATCCCTAAACCCTAAACCCTAAACCCTAACTGAAAATTGTATTCTTACTTTTAAAACGATAAATACTATTATATATTAATTGAAAAATCACTTATGTGATTTTCTTTGTGTTGTTAATATATTAAGTTTATAAAAATAGCTACCTTGATTGATTGTTGACTTTTATTAGTTATTTATTTTAATTGATCTAAAAATAAAATATAACTCTAGAACTAATTAATAAAAATTACCAAATAATACAAGTGATATTAGAAGTAATATTTTATGGTAATTAATTGTAGTGTTAGAAAAATAATATATATCTTTTCTCATTTTCTTTATTTTTATCAATTATTTATATTCATACTGAAATAAAATACTTTAACTTTTTTTAGAAATAAATTTAATGTTATATATATTCTTATATAAATTAGATGTGTAGGTAAGGATTTATTAGAACTTTTTATGTTTTTTTAAATCTCACGCCAAAACGTTTACAAAAGTTCTTCGTGATAAAAACTTCGGATCATTGTAGTGATCCTATTGGAGCTACACAAAAAAACACGCTCTCTCTCTTTCTTTTTCTCTCTTGAAAGTTAGAGCACAACGGGTTTTTTCACGTGTTAATTAAATATAAATTAATTCTATAACCAATTATCTGAACTCATTATAATATTGTTTTTCCGTGAGAGTTTTTTAATGACTAAATTTTATGTTGTTGAACTATTTTAAATTTCACAGATTTCAAAATTTTAAAATTTAAAATTAAAATTTTAAAATCTCCAGCTATTTGAAATTTAAAATTTCTAATTATTATTCAAAAATATAACAATGTAAACATAATATATATACATATATATATATATATTCATATAGTATAATTACCCGCAAAATTGTGGACAAATACCTAGTTATTATATTAAAAACAAGTAGCAAGTAAACAGTAAAGTAGTTACCAAAATAATAAGGTTTATTATTTAACTTGTATTTGCAAGTAATAAAATTGGAGTACTTACTTTTTCAAGTAGAATATGGGGCAAGTAGCAGGTACAAGGTGAGTACGGAGTAATTATGCCCAACCCTGGTTCATAACTGATAGCAATTTTGAGATTCAACTCAAGTCTGAAGCTGTAACTTTTGTCCATCCAGGTAAATGCACTGGTGTCTGTATGATATGGCTTAGAGTGAAAGCTGAAGGTACGTTAGAACTCAAGGTACTCCAGCAGATCTGCTCATTGCATTTCTTAATCTTACCAACAAATCCCAAGAAGCATATGTGCTCCTAAATGAAGCTGAGGAACATGTAACCGTAGGTTCTCCAGTTTATGAAGTCAAATCACTTCTTGTTCAAATCTCTCCTGATGTGAAGGATACAACTAGTCACACCGGAAGATGGTATGTTCATACACACATATTCTTTTGTGCATTGAGACAACTCCATACGTTTCTTAATTTTTCTGAGAAAACCTCACCATGGTTGAAAATTTTATGTGAATTAATAAAAAAAAATTGGAAAGGAATGCCAGCACCACTTGTGATCTCACTTATGGCGTCATATAATATCTTAAGTTATAGCGTCAGGTCTGAATTCAAGCTTTAGATATTTTTTTTTCAAACAGATGAATAACTGCTTTGGTATTCCCGAGTACTGCATGTCCATGGGTCACAGCTGCGAAAGAAACTATCATAGCTATCTGTTTCTTCAATTATCCCTGAAGCTTCTATGATACTTCCACATTTAGAGTACAAAGTGGACTTCTGCTCTAAACCAAGATGAAGAGAAAGTGCATGAACTTGCTCGCCATGAACAAGAATAGTCATGCATCCTGAGACACTCAGCAAACTAGCAAGAGAGCCATATACTTAAACCTTATTCCCCAAAGAAACACTGTCGTTCAGATCCATTCCATTGTATTTTCTAACGTCAAGCATCTATGAAGACTTTGAACGACGTTGTTTATCTCACAATCACTTTGGTTTAGCTTCTCTACAGCCAAGAACCTCCTAGCCATGGCTCCTTCAAGAACTGTGCTATAACCTGCGACCACCAGAACCTTTCTCTCCTTCACCAACCTCCTCATTGACGCTACATCTTCCCACGATTTCTCTGCAGCAAACACGCTAGAGGCTAGCAAATACCCTGAAGAACACATGGGTTCAAGCTCAAGAACCTCAGATATTGCCTATGTGCTAACGATCTCACTTTTCAAATGGTTCCTGCAGCCACTAAGAATCGATCCCCAAGCACCAGGCCCGGGTTTTATGTCATCTGGAAGGTTATTGATTAGTTCCATGGCTGTCTCAATCTCTCCAGCTCGGCTAAGCATGTCAACAAGACAAGAGTAATGCTGCAACGACGGTATGTTGTGATCTTCCACCATTGATTTGAAGATCATGAGACCTTGCTTGATCAATCCTCCATGATTACAAGCTGATAAAACTGCCAAATAAGTTACAGCGTTTGGTGTGCAACCTTCTCGTTTCATTTCCTCGAATGATGCTAATGCTTTCTCCGGTAAACCGTTTATAGCGTATGCTGATATGATCACTGTCCAAGATGCAACATTTTTCCTAGGAACTGAATCAAATGTTCTCCTCGCCATTTCTATGGCGCCACATTTTGCATATGCGTCAACAATGGATGTATCAACCGAGATGTCAGTTGTGGCTAAGCCTCTCCGGATCGCAATTCCATATGCCCATCTGGATTTTCTCAAGTCTGCTGAAACAGAGCATGCGTCAAGAAGATTTATGATAGTGATGGCGTTGGGCTTATCCTTCATCTGACAGAAGATTGAAATAGCTTCACCAGGTCTTCCAGAACGGGCTAATCCAGAGATCATTGTGCTACATGACACCACATCCTTGAACGCCATCGACTCAAACACGGTTTTTGCATTATCAACAAGACATAAACTACTATATGCATCAATCAAAGCGCTTATGGCAACTTCGTTAGACTCGTATGCCCACCTAATTAAAATGCAGTGTACTGACTTGCAAGGCAATGGTTGCTGAAAGAACTTGCAAACCTGAAGAAGACTCACGAGAGTAACTTCATCCGCTTCAACTGCCTCTTTTCTCATCAAACCAAACATCTTAAGAGCCTCTTCATTCCTTTGGTTATGTACAAACCCATCCAAAATCGAATTCCATGTAACTATGTTTCGACAAGTGATCTCATCAAACACTCTAAACGCTGAATCAACGTCAAAGCCTTTGGAATACATATCAACGAGTGAATTGCGCACAAACACATCTCCCAAATCAAAACCTTTACGTATAGAAAACCCATGAACTGATCTTCCCACACCAACACCCTCAAGAACAGCACAGCCCTTGAGAACACTTGTTACAGTTACACTATCAGGCTCTGTTTTCCCTCCACGAACCATCTCTTGGAACAACTTCAATGCAAAAACAGGTTCTTGCCTTTGCACATAGCAACGGATCACTACACTCCATGAAATAACATCTCTTTCAGACATTTCGTCGAACAGTTTGCGTGCGCTAGACAAATCCCATTCTGCATACAAGGACAAGATGGGATTTTGAACAGAGGGAATCTCCAAGAAGCTACTACGGGTTACATAGCCATGAATCTTCTCTCCGTCAACATAGGATCTGAAACCACGTAACGTTTGAATCACAAGAACCAATGTGGAGGCGTTAGGCTCAAAGCCCCACACTCTCGACTTGGAAAACCACCACAGCCCTTTTCCTTCGAATCCATGTTCGAGAAACCCGAAAACGACGACGTTCCAAGAAAGATAGTCTCTCGAGGTCATAGAGTCAAACGCTCGCGTGGCGGAACACAAGTCTCTGCATTTCATGTAGAAGTCAGCGATCGAGTTTCCGACAGAGACAAAAGACTCTAACCCTCTCTTGAACAGACTCGTGTGGATGCATCTGCCTTGTGACAGCCATGAGAGCTTAGCACAAGCTTTGAAAACGATCAGGAAGACGAAAGGATCGCTAAACTGAGTTCTAGATTTCTGTATCTCGGAATAACAAGAGAGCACTTCCCGCCATTTTCCATTGGAGGAAGCTTGCTTGATCTTGGAGGACAAAGCTTGTACCTTCCAACACATGCGTGATCCCATTTATTCAATCTTTGTCGTTGTGAGAGTAAAGGTCAATCCAATGGCCACTTATAAAAGAGTTCAAACAATTACAAAACACTACATAAACCCTTGTTTATCTTTTTGTTACATGCGAATGGTTTACTAAACATCTTTGACGAATACAAAACCAGAGAGATGGGAATAAAGAATCTCGCGAGTCTTAAACAACACTAGTGAGCTCAATATTTTTTGAACTATTAGCTGTCAAGTAAATAATAGATAATAAGAAGATCTCTCTATAATTATTATAAAATACAGTAATCATATTCGTATGTATGTATAAATACCTTCTTGTATTAATAAAGATATTGAGCCTCTAAATCTATATGGTGTCAGAGCCTAATCTGACCTAAAACTCTCTACCATCTTTTGTTCTTCAAAATTTTTCCTTCTTTCTCACATTTTCATTGTTATCATGTCGGCTATCTCACCCGTTTCAGTCAATGAAATTGTCATCATTACACAAAACAACACCACGATCCTCAACCGTAACATGATTAATGTTACAAAGCTTACAGCTTCCAATTTTTTGATGTGGAGTCATCAGATCCACACTCTTTTTGATGGCTATGACCTAACTGGTCATATTGATGGATCGCTTGTTGTTCCTCCCGCCATGGTGACCACAGATGCCGGCATTACTCCAAATCCGGCTTACACCACATGGAAACGCCAAGACAGATTAATATACACCTCTCCCTTGGGTGCCATCACCACCACTCTACAGCCGATCCTCTCCAACACGACAAGTGCAGCTTAGATCTGGAGAATTCTCACTACATTCATATGACACGAGTAGAGGACATGTTCAGCAACTCAAACAGCAGCTCCCTCATCTGTAAATCAAGGCATGGGTAGAGAAGAATGGCTAGCTATCCTTAAGAGACACATCACAATGCTTGTATCGAAGACGGCCTGCAGGGTCAGAATAATGAAATTAGACTAGTTAAGTTCAGTTAGCGAGCTGATCAAATTCATGATCTTAGCTTGCTCTTGAGAAAACCAGAGGATCATGATGACCAGATTGATGTGATTCTTGAAGGTCTCCCTGAAGACTACAAAACCTTGATTGATCAAGTTGAAAGCCGAGACACCCCTCCATCCATTACATAACTTCACGAGACGCTCATCAATCATGAAGTCAAGAGTCAATTAAAGCAGTCTACACTTCCTTGTACTCCAATAACGGCCAAATTCACCAACTACAGAAGTCATAACAACACTAACAACAACCGTGGAGACCAAGGTGAAAAACGTGTTGGGTTTCGTGGAAACCAAACTTGGCAGCAACAACAATTTATCCCACCACCAACACTGCTACTCCACGTGGCTATCAAGAAAAATGCCAACTTTGTGGTATTTTTGGACACAGTGCTAGAAGGTGTACATGGATGCAGAATCAAAACATGTCTCTTTCAACAGGGTCAGTCACACACCAGATGCAGTATCATCCAAGAGCTAATCTTGCCGCCACTTCTCCCTAGAACACAGCTCCATGGTTGCTTGATAGTGGGGCAACACATCACTTGACTTCCCACATCAACAACTTGGCAATGTATCAGCCATATTCCGGAGGTGATGAGGTCGCGATTGTCGATGGATCTGAACTACAAATTACACATATCGGTTCTACTTCTATCCCTACATCATTGAAATCACTACATCTAAAAGATATTCTCTGTGTTCCGACTGTTGCTAAGAACTTGATCTCAGTTTATAAACTTTAATCAACTTTCTGTGGATTTCTTTTCTGCTTACTTTTAGGTGGATGATCTCAACACGAGGGTCCGGTTGCTTCAAGGCCAAACGAAGGATGAACTGTATGAGTGGCCTATGTCTGCGAAAACCTTACCTGCTGCTTATGCTACCTAACCAGATACCAAGTCCACCTTTACCCAATGGCATCAACGCTTAGGACATCCCTCATTATGTATTCTTAAAACAGCTGTTTCCAAGTTTTCTTTGCCATGTTTTGCAAACTCTACTTCTATTTCACCTTGCAATGATTGTCTTCTTAATAAAACTCTTAAACTTCTCTTTTAAACAAGTACAATCATCTCCTCTATACCCCTTCAATATATCTTCTCTAATGTTTGGCAATCACCCATTCTTTCATCACAAAACTTCAGATATTACCTTGCTTTCATTGAATATACAAGTCAAATCTTCAGATATTACCTTCAGATATACACGTTATACATGGTTATATCCTCTCACTGCCAAATCTCAAGTCAAAGATATCTTCCTCCTCTTTAAATCCCTCGTTGAAACTCGATTCCAGACCAAAATACCACATCTTTACACTTATAATGGAGGTGAATACCTAGCCCTACGCCCTTACCTATCTACCTATGGTATCACTCATCTCACTACACCTCCACACACTCCTGAACATAATGGCCTTTCCGAAAGGAAACATCGAAACATTGTCAAAACCGGTCTATATGTTCTCTCCTCCGCTAATATACCTCTTACACTCTGGCCTTATGCATTTGCAACAGCTGTTTTCCTCATAAATCGCCTCCTCACACCAGTCCTCTCTCATCAGTCTCCCTTCTAGAAAATATTTAACCAACCACCCAATTATTCTAAACTGCGAACCTTTGGCTGTCTAGCCTTCCCTTGGCTTCGACCATATGCTCCCAATAAGCTTGAAAACTGCTCCATACCTTGTGTCTTTATATGTTACTCCTTAACCCAAAGTGCCTACCAATACTTAGATCCTAAAATTGGTCGTCTCTATACTACTAGACACGTTCGGTTCAATGAAACACAGTACCCTTATACTTCCCTTATCCAACCAACCACCATATCTTCCCCTGAAACTCCAACGCAACCAAGCCAAGCTTCGCCAGTTACCACTATTCCAGTAACTAGGACACTCATACATTCTCCTACGTTAGCTACGAAAACTGTACAAACGTTCTCGGACACTCCACCACCTCCGCAACAGCCACAACTTTCTGCCTCTCCTTCTACATCTTCGTCGTCATCAGATGATCCCAATACGACCCTTGCTCCTGCAACTA